CGATAGCTCAAGTGGTAGAGCAGCGGCGTATCAAGCCGAAGATCGTGGGTTCGAATCCCGCTCGTGCCATTGACTTTTTTATCTCAACTGAAAACCTTAATTAATTGTAATTTTTTTTTCTATTGAAAAACCTTTCATTTCCACCGCATGTTTTGTAAATAAGTCTCTAATTTCTTTACACCAAAATATATTTCTTTTAATAGTTTCATTAGCCAAAATTCTGGGTAAATGTCATTTAAGAAAACCTAACTTTTTTTTAAAATGTACCTTAGATGTAATTTTAATGTAAATAAAAATAATGGTTCTGTGTTAGTATCCTGGTTAAATATGTAATTAGGTGTAATTTTTGGGCAGTGAAAACTACTTTTTAATGAAAAATTTACTCGACATAGCCACTTTTTCGACTCTAATGAAATACTAGTGCTTCATAGCACATATTAGAACGCACGACAGAGCCAAACACATGAAACTTTGCAGACAGTGGGATGGCATTACGTTTAATGAGAGGATAAAATGTCTAATGAATTGCCGATTTGGCCGTGCTCAGTTTTTTTCTCGAAATGTTTTAATGACTGCTGTGTTGTTAAGTCGATTCCCAAATATTTATAGGATGTTACAATGTCAATTTATCTTTATTCCAAGACTCTTCCATTTAATTTCCCTCCGTTTTGGAACACCATTATTTTAGATTCCGTTCTATTAACTGTCAAGTTCCACAAATCTGCATGTTCCTCTAGCCTATTTATCATTTCTTGTAAGAATCTTGAGTGATCTGCTAATAAAATGTCATTAGCATAAAGAAGGCATCGAATCTTTCTACCAGCAATCCACCCTTCAGAGTCGTACAAATCGTTCACAAAAATAGTGAAAAGCAGTGATGACAACAGACATCTCACCCCCATTCTGGCTTTTAATTCTTTTGTGAGACCACCGTTCGCACATATATTTAAATGATTATACATTTTTTTAAAGATGTATATAAATTTATTAGAAACTCCAAAAGCTTAAAACAAAGGGACTGGTAGTTGGGTGACTCAAAAGCAGTCTAGAAATCTATAAAATAGGCGTACAATTTTTTTTCTATAACAATTTTAACAATTATTCAGAAATCATGAGATGCGGTCTGGTGTAGGTTTTAGAAAAACATTTTCTTTATCGTGCCACGTTTCAATCTTTATTGAGATCATCTTCAGGGCTCGAAGTGTTTGTCTTCTGTGTAATTGTGCCATTCTTACGTGTCATGTTGAGAGTATGGTGTGACGATGATCTCAATAAAGATCGAAACGTTGGCACGATAAAGAAAATGTTTTTCTGACACCTACAACACCAGACTGCACCTCACGATTTCTGAATAATTATCGATTAACGGTCACTAATCACCACACAATTTTAGCAATATTGATAAAATTAAATATGTTAGCTGTCGAATACCATTTAAGAAAGTCTGACTGAAACTGATTAAGAATTTTTCCCTCTTCAACCCAATTTTCCTAACTTAAAAACAATAGACCAGTGACTAGTTTTGCTATACAATCCACAAAAGAAATAGCCCTACAACTTTTTATCTCGATGACATCACCTGCCTTGCAAAGAGGATATATTCTCCCATAGTATAGCTTTCCCAATTTTTTTTGGGGAGAATACTAGGTTTCTCGACCTAGTATCTAAAAAGTTTAATTGAAATCAGTGATTACACATCTGTAGCCTCTTTGGTAATCTAAACTAGTAAATTCATTATGGTCGAAGCCATAATTTTTAAGAACTCTAATAATAACTTTTTAATAAATAATAATCATTTTAAATGTAAGAAGATGTTTATAATTATTAACTGTGTTAATCATTAGAAATAGTTTCAAACTCCTCATGAAGATCAAGTTGAATCGTTCTTGAAGGCTTGACGAAGGAACTGAGTGTTTTCCTTTCTTTCAAATTCGCCTTATCCTTCCTATTCTACATACAATTAAAAAAGCCAATAGAATTTTTATATTTAATTAGAATTAATTATAGAAATTAGATACAATATTAAGTGAAGTAGGTTTTAGAAGGCAGTAGGATTAATGCCACATGCACTAAGATCTGGAAATAATAGTTATTTTGTCATCTGTATTAATTGTTTTATAAATTTATCATGATTATAAGATGATTAATTTTTACACAAGTATAAATTTACAATTACTTACGAAAATATTTTTGGAATTTTCCTTGTTGGAACTGTTGTAACGATTTGACTCCACAGTAAAGTTCCAAAACCGAAGAAAAGGCACCAACACCATTGTTCCAGTGTTAAAGCATGGGTGGAAAATGCAGCTCCACCAAATTGTACTATGAAAGCCTAGAAAAAAAAATTGAAAATTAATTCATTGTAATAAAATGCGTAAGGACATTTCTTTTGGATTTTTAACAAGAATACCTGAGCTAAAAGTGTGCCAACCCATATTGAGTAGAATATTGGATTAGTGAAAAACCCTTCGAATACATTTCTTTGGCCATGGATTTTGCGAGCATTAATTTCGTTAAATAAAGTCATCATTACAAATGTATTAAAAATAATAGTGAAATGCTCTGTTGGTCCAGATCCGAGTTCGGCACCACGCCCAGAAGGTATATCCAGCAGCGTATCACCTAAAAAGAACAGTTATATTACAAAATCTTATTTTGATTTTTTTCTATATAATAAAAAAAAGATAAGATAGACAAAAGTGATGAATAGAAACTATTATTACTCACCAATAAACAGAAGAGAAAATACAACTGTTAATTGATAAATAGCTTGGCCAAGAATGTTTTTCATCATAGTTCTCGAAATAAGGGGTTTTGTACGGCCGTAAGGTTTTCGAAGGAGCAAATCAGGAGTCGGCATTTCCGTCGCCAATGCTAAAGACGCAAGAGTGTCCATGATAAGGTTGACCCACAGCATTTGAACAGCCTAAAAGATGCGAACAATTAATAATTTATTTTGGGACAGTTTATATAGGCATACCTTCAGTGGACTGTCTTGAACTGCGCACGCTCCGATAAATGCTACTATTACAGCTACAATGTTAACGGTCAGCTGGAATTGTAGGAACTTGGCGATACTATCGTAAACGTTCCTTCCCCACATCACGGCTTTTACAATGCTGCTGAAGTTATCATCTGTTAAAATAATATCTGAAGCCTCTTTGGCAACATCAGTCCCAGCAATTCCCTGGGAAAAAAATAAAAAAATAAATGAAAAAAATAAACTTCGGAACCAGAAATTTACTTTGAAGATTTTAATTTAGTAAAATAAGAAATAAGAAAATTCATGTAACCATTTTATTTTAATTATAATAGTAATCTTGATTTCGCACCATTGCAAACCCGACATCAGCCTTCTTCAGTGCAGGCCCATCATTTGTTCCGTCACCAGTTACAGCAACAACTTCCCTACTCTCAGTTGATTTACTGTCTATTATTCCTTTAACTAAAGTATATTTGTCCGTTGGAGATGACCTTGCCAATACTCTTAATCTCGGCCACACCTTATCGAGCAAATGCTGTTGAACCTATACGTGAAGAAAATGTTTAATTTGTAGTGAGATACCCAAAAAAATAAAAATAACTTAATTTACAATTAAATAAAAAAATTAAAATTAACTTAATTAAAAATCAAAAATTACAAAAAAATAGAGCAGGTACAGCAATAACATCCATCTTTTAAAAGTTCAGTTACATAAAATAAAAGATGGACGGTATATATTTTTATTAAACAAAAATTTCATTCCAAAATACTTCAATAAAAGATCAAATAATTATAATATAAATAATAGTAGTAATTATCAAATTATTTATTACTTCTCCATTTGAGTCACGTATTCTTCTATTGAATTCTTTGCCTTCTAGAATAAGATAATCTTCCCCTGGTTTCAAAATTCCACATTTTGTCGCTATAGATCTGGCTGTATTTATGTTATCACCAGTAACCATACGGACAGTTATTCCCGCTCGCTGACATTTCTTAATAGCATCTGGTACCTGTAATATAAAAATACGGGCTTACCGTTTGATTCATACTATGCCAGGCTGGCGAATCGTACCTCAGGTCGGACAGGATCTTCAATACCGACGACACAGATCGCGGTCAGGTTGTTGACAGTGTATTCCTCATCGTCCCAATTCGGCTCTGAATCGTAGTGGACCTGATTTATTTCCGCTTTGCCGGGAACAAAGTCGCGATATGCTATTGATATTGTCCTCAGTCCGTCACATGCCATAGGTTCGATTACATTGCGTACTAGCCTTTCTTGCATTTCCCGAGTAAACTTTTCTAAATGGCCATCTCTACCGTATATAAATGCACACCTGAAATCATGTGACTTTATTTAATAGGTCATAGGTTTTTTCAACTAGAGCATATTAGCGATTGACTATTGTTAACACATTATAAAATGAAAAATTTAATTTTAAAACCTACTTTTTAAGCACAATTTCTGATGCGCCTTTTGTAAATAGTCGATAGCCTCCTCCTTGTCGTGGTATCACAGTAGACATTGATTTTCTCACAGAATTGAAGGTATACACCCTTGTGAACATTTCCTCAGGCATGTCGTCTCGGATAGTTTGATAGTTTTTTCCTAATGCTTGTACAAATCCCAATAGGGAACATTCAGTCTTATTACCTACTTGTTTGGGAAGCTCAGAGGGTTCTTCTGGTTGCTGTGAATATTTTTACAAAATTAATTAAAACGAATATCAAAATGTTACCAAGTGAATCAATTTAAAAGATATAATAAATAAATAATAATACCATTATGCGAGATGTATAGGCAGAATTGATGGAAATTGCTTGGATCAGCAGGTTTCCAACATTTGTGGGTATGGATGAAAATTTGGGTATTGTTTTGCTCAAAACTTCACAGATATACGATTGAACAACAGTCATCCTATCATGGAAAAATTACCTCGTTAATAAGATTTAAAAAAATTAAATAGAATAAAAATATTCTAATTACCTGTTGGTGGTCAAAGTACCCGTTTTATCAGAACAAATGGCAGTGGCGTTTCCCATCGTTTCACATGCATCCAAATGCCTTACAAGATTGTTATCTTTCATCATTTTCTATATAAAACAACAACAATTGGTATTTTCCACTTGGACAAATAAACACTAATATTTATTTAAAAAATACACACTTTGACAGAATACGCTAATGATAGTGTAACAGCCAATGGCAGGCCCTCTGGTACGGCAACGACTAATACAGTCACACCAATAATAAAATGACGCACAAATTCATTGGCATAAACGTTCTTCCATGGTTTATTTTCTATTACAAATGTTTTCACACAGAACTGGATAACAAGTATAACAACCGTAAGGACAGCAATGGTAGAACCTAAAATGATAATACAATATAAATATCTAATGATACTCTTTGAGAGGCATAAAATGAAAAAAAGGTTTTGGCTAAAACAGTTGGGATAATTTTTAACATTTTAAACACAAAAGTCAAGTAATTCCTCTCATACAGGAGGGCTTAATGTCCAATTTCCATTGGGTGTTGTTGACGAGGGGTCAAACTTTTTACAATACTACACAGCTATGTTGGGATTCGTACTAAGGGCCACTAGCATGACTCACAGTCATACACTCTAACCCTCGGCCACCATGGTCCCCCCCATAATTATTGTTGATATATAAAACACTTAATTTTTAAACGAAAACTTTATAAATTGAATAATTCTATTTCAATTTTAAAGTGCTTTATTAAATACTTAAATACTGACTTTTGAAATTATTATAAACAAAGTTAGAATAATATGGGTAAGAACATTTTAATGGGACACTCACCTGCATAACCGATTTGAATGGCAAGTTTTGTTAATTTGGCTTGCAATACTGATTTTTCTTTTTTCGAATGATCTTCTTCGCGTTCTTTTTTCGGAGCGGCATCACCGGCATTTTGTGGTACCTCATGTGTTCTTACGGTACCGACAGCCCCCATGTGACTATTTCCTGTTACTGGAGCTTCCTCATCACCTGTTAATTTTATGAAAAGAAAAATTTCAATAATATGTCGATAAAATTTACAAAAAACAAAACAAAAAAAAAAATGCGGCAAACATTATTAGAAGTTTAAATTAAAACCGATTAAAAATTATAAAATTCACCACACAATAGAAACTATGAGTTATCTGTAATTTCTGTTAACAGTTAATAGAAACATTATTTATTTATTTTTTTCAGTTTCAATGATCATGAATCATAACAAATTATTAAAAATCACATTCATACCAAGGGTAAAATACAATTTGAAATGATGTATGGAATATGAGATGGGCAATCGTAACGCACTTTAATAGCAAGTCAATTAAAATTGTGACACGTTTATAACTTGGAATTGGTTAACTTTTAAGTATGGGACATCATTACATTTAAATAAGATTTTGAATTACTTTGATAAATAATTTGGAGAATAAAAACATATCCAATTTTTGCATGAATGGTGTTGATGCATAATATGAATTTAATTTATGTCATTATTCAAACACCTCTGTATGCTGATTTATTAGCCCAACAGTGGTGAGTAAAAAATAGAAACATTCTTTCATAAATCAGTCATATGGTAAAACTGTGTAGAACATGAAGTGATTTAATTTTAAATGGGTATGCTTTTGGGCTTTGTTTTTGCACATATATTCTGCAAGCGTTTTGGCGGAATAATCATGAGATGGGTTTACATATTCATGATTCAATTAATGAGTGAGAGATAGTTTAGATTAGATTAGGTAGGATTAGGGTTAGGTTACATTTTCTTGATTCAATATTTTCTGTGAAATGGATAAATTATTAACTTTTATTAAAATTATAAACTTACAGGGGAGTGATCATGGGCTGGGTTAGGGAGAGGTTAGGTTAAGTTATTTTAGGTAGGGTTAGGGATAGGCTAAGTTAGGCTAGGGATGGTTTTGGTTAATAGAAATAATAAAGGTGGGAAATACAAAAATTGGGTTTGGTTAAGTTAATACTTATGTTTCTTTATTAAATTGTTTACACACTGGGGAGTGTGCATGGGTTGGTTTAGGTTACATATTCATGATTCGATATTTTCCACGAGGCAGAGAAATCAATTTTGTTAAAATTAGTAACTTACTATGGGGGATGCATGGATTGGGTTAGGAAGAAGTTAGGTTAAGTAATTGTAGGTAGGGTTATGGATAGGTTAACGTCTAGTTTAGGTATGGGTTTCATGTGTAGGGTTACATTTCATGATTCATTCAATGGGTTAGGTATAGGTTAGGTTAAATAGTCTTGATTCGATATTTTCCATGAAGTGGAGAAACTATTAGCTTTTATTAAAATCATAAAATTACTGGGGAGTGTCCACAGGTTGGGTTAGGTTAGCTTACACATTCATATTTCTTTATTCCAATTAATAATTACCGAATGTTCAAATAAATGAAAATAAGTAATATATCTACTTTTGTACTTAAAAAAGATAGATTTATCTTAAAAATTACATGTTTTAAACAAAACAACATTAAAATGATAAACTTACTGGAGAGTGCACATGGGGTGGCTTAGGGATAGATTAGGTTAAGTTATTTTAGTAGAAGTAGGTACAGGTTTGGTTAGGTCACATACTCATGATTCAATATTTTCCATGAAATGGCAATTTTTAACCGTGATTAAAATTATTAACTTACTGGGGAGTGCACTTGGGTTAGGGATAGGTTAAGTTATTTTAGGTTGAGTTTGGACTAGGTTACCAATTAATTCATGATTCAATATTTTTCGTGAAGCAAAGAAATTATATATTTTTTTATCCATAGAACTTTTACTTGTTAGGTGTGGTGGTGTTCAATTTTTATTACAATTTATGATATTAAGAATTGGGTCATTTATATTTCAATTGATCAATGAAAATCATATTTAAGTCCTAGTAGTATGTTTTATCTACTGAATAGAAGTAATTCAAAATTATTAGACATTTTTACATTACAAATTTATGGTAGATTAATTTTTAAAATTAATTATCACAATTATTAAAATAATATTGGCCGTTGTTATTGGCATTTTCATTATAAAACAACACTTGGTTTAGATAATATGAGCAGCAATAATACATATTTAACACCCTAAGTATAATTTTTCATATTCAAAAGGTGACAGTAACTAGAATTCTAGAAATTTCTGTACAAGATTATCTATTAAAAAAAGAAAAAAAATCATGCACTGCTCGTACTTTTATTAGCAATATATGAAACAAAATATCTATAAATTTTACACTATATATTGTGTTTCTAACTGTACACAAATGCTCCTGTACAGGATTTTATTTTTGCAAGGTATTCTCTATATCTAATGGTAAATGCTTTGCTGGACATGTACTATTGCTACTCGAGTAATTTAATTTTGAAATTTAAATAGTATAAAAAAGTCACCTGATAAACTCTTCTTCTTGCGGTTCTTTTTTGCTTCTGAAGATTTGGGGAGCATGCAAAAGGTAAATGCATTAGTTTAAAAAAATAAAATAAAATAAATAAATAAAACACTGAAGAGGGAGTAGAAGGGCACAAGATACAGTTATTAAAACAATTGACAAGCAACTTATAGTGCCATTGAGGGTCGGGTTCATAACATGTTAACATAAAAGTTCATAACTCTAAGTAAGTAGAGACTGCAATAATTGAGACTGATATTAAAATTACTTCTTACTTTGGGACTAATAATTAAAAGAAAAGAACATGATAAATGTACAAAAAAAAATTAAGGATTTGTCATAAAACATGTTGTTACAGTAATCAATTTTTCATAATATACTATTTTCAAGGGAAAACCTGGGCGAAAAGTCACCGCTCAATCGGGAATCAGATGAGAATGTAATCAAGAATTTAGGTCAAATTTAAATATTCAAACTTTCAATGCGTCGACTGAAAATCATGAAAATTAATGAATAATATACTGAGTCAATCCAATACAATTCCACTATATATAACAAAATACAAATAATTCAAATAATAATACTTATTTTTATTATTGAAATTACTTTTATTATATATTTTTACAATTTATATTTGTGGCTTAGTTTTTTGTGAGAACTTTCTTGGCACCATTCTTTGTGACATATAATTCATTCTAACCTTAAAAAACATCATCTTTCTTCAATCATCCCAATCGTAATAATGGCTTTTATTTATTAGAAATTAAAATTCACATAGTACGTAATAAAATTGATAAGTTTAAATACAATAAACTTTTATAAATAGTCTATATGTCATATAGGTTATGTATGAAACTTTTTATTGATTGTATATTTAAAGAAAATTGTACTGTATTCACAAGCACTTGAGTTATATTGAATATTCCCTTTATCTGCGTCCAAACACCAAAATTGAAGAATCGTAGTTTACAATTGGAAAAAAAGTAAAAACACATTCTAACATTTTTTGTCTCCACTATCTTTTTCTAAAAAAATATATATATATCAAAAAAACAAACAACGTTTAAATTCTGCAACATTAAATTGAAATTAACCATCATATTTATAACAAAGACAGCAGATTTAAATTTTAGAATCATTAGCAACTGATTCAAGCAAAACAGCAGCACATTCAAGGCAGTGGTTCGACTACTGGCATCCTTGGTAAAAATTAATTTCAATACAAAACATTCCCGGTGGAAAAAGTCGCCTCCGATTTATAAATTTACATATAAATTACAGCAGAATGCATTCTTATTTTATGCTCGTTTGGGTGAAAAGCACAGAAAATAAATTATCCTAAGTGATAAACCATAAAAACCAATTTTTGAATCACAGAGGAGTCCAGAAAATTTGAATACAGTCAGAGGAGTAATTGTGGTTTTGCTCAATCCAATCCTTAAATTGTGAGTTTTGCGAGGCGAATAACCTCTAGTTTCAGTCCTTTCTTTTTTGGTCTGTTAGATGCCTTTTGGCTTGTCACCATCTACAGGGTTGGGTTCTAACTGAAACTATTATTAAAAACTAAAGATGGTGACAGACCAAAACAGCGACAAGCGGATCAAAATGATTAGACTAGTCTCACTCTTGTCCAACTTTTTCAAAACTTTCAGCTTATTTTAAAAAGTACACATGTCTGTTCCTTCTGATCCAGTTAAACTTTTTAAAATCAGACCAGTTTTACTGATTTTTTCTACATTATTGCAATTCCGGCAATGCCAAAATTGCACTCGGTCCCAACCAGTTCGTACTATCCGTCTCTACTGTACTACGCAATTGAAATAATATAAAATTGTATCGAATTATTACATCTTAATTTATTTAATAACGAGCCTGATATAATAAAAAAGATGCAATGAAAGCATATGCAATGCTATAGCATTTTGCTTAACAGTAAATGCACTAGCAGCGAATAAGCAAGCAGATAATACAGTATGCTGTCATGTTTTATCAAGCGTTTTATTTTTGTTTGATTGATTTCAGTGATTATAAATGAATCAATCGCATGTCTGATTCATGCAACCCTGCCATCTTATACACTCAATTGATCGATTCCGTTTTGGCTTTATTACCTATTAATCCATGAAGGTAAATTTACACAAAAACCTATGATGTAATGTAACTTTGTTACAGTGCTGCACATTTCGAAAATATTACATACAAATTTAGTTCCATAGTATTTTTTTTCTAGTTTGCTATTTTCTCAACTGTACAATTCAAATAATAAATAAATAATATATGATTTTAGGTAAATATATTTTCAATGAATTGCTGCAACTGGAAATAGATGCTTTTTTTATGTTGCTGTTTTTCTGCCCATTATGCAAAACAAATATGCAGTACAAAATTAAAAAAAAAAAAAAAATAAATAAGCTTCAAAAGAGACTACATTGAGATAAAAAGTAATAAATAAAGGAGCTGTCATTCAGAATACCATGCTTATTGCTAATAAATATGCTGCACATGCTTTCATGTCAGAAGTTTTTTTTTAAATTATTAATATAGATCACTGAGATTTTTTTTGCGATACAGAAACTATTTTAAAGACGTTTAAACAATCAACAGAGTAAAATTATTTTCTTATATATATATTTTAACCCGCATAAACAGTAGTTTATGAGGGATCACTAAAATATTCTCTTGCATGGTATTATATCCATTATTAGTTCTTATTTTCTAATCTAATGATCCATGCGGGTCTCTACTAACGAGCAAAGAACATTTATAAACCAATGCAGAATGGTAGATTTCGTTCAGAAGTGATCTGCACATACCTTTTCGTTTCTTCTTTATTTCTTGTTCTTGTTCGTCGACAGCAGCTCCCAACAATGTAAAAATTATTCCAGCCTGTGAATTTACACCCACAGCGGCGACAACCATTTTCCCGCTACCTTCCATAACGTGTGTTCCTAATAATCGATGACAATTAGTGTGATGGGATTGTTTTGGAAAACTTGTCAACATACCTGATAGCACCATTGGATCAAACGATTCCCCTTTTTTCACATGATCTGATTCACCAGTTAATGATGATTCATCTATTTTAAGGTCATTACTCTGTATTAATATTCCATCAGCAGGTAAAAGATCACCATACTTGATCTGTTAATTGAAAAAATACAAATGAGAGCCAGTCCATTTAAAACTGTTCACTTTTGACAAGATTATTTCTTTTTTATACTTACTGGTCCAACATCATTGAACTAATTCAGATACAAAACTCACAATTTACTACTATTTGCTATTATATTTCGGCAATTTACCACCCCACCTCATACTTATATTATAATAGCAACAGTAGTAATTTTGCTTATAATTACTTTCTTACATATTTCTTGTAATTACCGTTTACAAGTCTATTATTATTATATATATATTTACAAAAGTATTTACCTGGCATATATCACCTACTACGATGTCTCCAACTGATATTTGTTCAACTTCTCCTTTCCGAATGACTGAAAATTTATGTTCTCCTTCGATTCTACCTTGCAGGCCTCTAAATTGTCTTTCTTTCGTATAATCATTGAATGCCGTTACAATGACAACTACAATTACTGATATCAGAATTGCCAGACCTTCAATCCATCCATGTATACCCTCCTCATCATCAGGAACTGAAAAGAAAAAGAAAAAAATGAACATCTCTTTTGGCATTGTTGATTACTAGCTAAAATATTCAACATCCATTTAACTGTCCTACAATTGATCATTTGATTAAATCAACTCGGATATAAAAAAAATAAAATAAAAAGTTGAAAAGATTATAACATTGACCTATAGGGTGTTTGTGTTCATATGTAAATTACTAGCCATAGTTAAGGAAATATTGTAGCACTCAAAATTTCTACACATGTGGGAACACAGGTTACTGAAGGGAATTACCAGGGGTTTTTGTGTAACATTTTTTCCTATAGAAAAATGTTTGAATAGGTAAATAAAGTCTTCTACAGTTGCTCTACTGAATCACATTAAATTACCTGCTGCGTCTGAAGAACAGCACCATGAAACAAACGTATAGTTTAGTAATATTCAAATATTAGAAGAAAAAGAAAAAGAAAAAAAAATACAACTAAAGGGGTAAAATATACTGAAACAACCATGCGGAAATCATCAAAATCTTTTGGAAATTTATCCTCTCATTTCTCTAATGTAAAAATAAATAAATTAATAAAAAAAAAAAAATAAACAAGGAAATGCTTGCTAACTTGCACTTATTTCAATGAAACTTTTTTATGATATTAAAATAAATTTATAAAAATAAAATAAAATAAAATAAAAAAATAAACAAGGAAATGCTTGCTAACTTGCACTTATTTCAATGAAACATTTTTATGATGATATTATGTCTAAAAATAGACATGTGGCGAGCATTTTTACTAATGGGCCCTAATAGGCAAGAAAAAATTAAGAAATTTATACATTCTTTTTAAAACATATGTTTCTGCCTTTGTTGGGCATGCATATTATAAACTTAATTTTAATAAGGTTATTATAAATTAATTTATTTACATAGGGTAAGAAAATAATATACAGGTTCGTATTAAATCAGAGTAATCAAGTAAAAACCCAAAAGACCGCACAAGAAAAGTAGGTAAAATTTTTTTTTCCAAAAGTTTCAGGTTTGCTTTAAGCACCGTTTAACATTCTTAAATATGAATTTTCAACACAATAAAAAACAGACTTTTTGTTTGGTGGACTTGATAAACTTTTTCCTTCCGGTGTCCCTTGAACTTGAAAATTCGAACTTCTCTGTATTTTATTGAAACTGAAAGTTTATACAACTGTTGGAAAGAAGAATATTTCTTCTTTTAAGTTTTGTCAACCAAGTTTAAGTATTGTGCCATTATAAGTGATAGAATAAAGAAGAAAAAAAAAGTCAATGGCACGAGTGGGATTCGGATTTTTTTATCTCAACTGAAAACCTTAATTAATTGGTCAAGCGGACCACGAAACTAGTGAATTTAAGAAGAAAAAAAAGCTCAAATGTTTTTATTTCTTTGGTTCTAATTTATATGCGGAGGTGACATTTGTGCCATTAAGTATCGTTTATAGGGTTCTAAGTCCCTGTAAAGTGTCTGGTAGATTGGTGGATTATTTTCAAAGTTATTGCAATTTTTGTTATTTAAAAAAAAAAAAAATCTCAGCCAATTTGGAAGGCTATGTTTTTGATGGAATTTTTCTTTCAATTTTCCAAAAAAAAAACTGGTATTCAGGTGTATTTTTGAGAAAAATGAATACCAACTTATTTTTTGCCAGGAAAAAAAAAACTTGAATGTATAATCCATAATACAAAGTCAATTTATGTTTTCTGTACTCCAAAAAAACCAAAATATAATTTTAGGGGAGGAAAAGATTTCAATAAAAATTTTCCCCTTCTAATCAACAAAATCTCTCTGACTTATGTTCAATAATCTCAAATATAGTCGGAATTTTGATACGTCAACACCTATATGATATGGGTTCAGGACCCTATAAACTACACATAATGGCACAAATATAGCCTTCTTAAATAAATTAGAAACGAAATATAAAATAAAATATTTGAGGTCTATTTGTTGTCTTCATTCTTATTTTTCTCACTTAATGATATAAAATCTAAACGTCGACATAGGTTGAAAGTAGAACAAACTAGCTTTCCAAAGGTGTCACAATCTCGATTTTCGATAAAATTCAGAGGTGTTATTAAGTTTTAAGTGGAACAACAGTAAACCAGAGGGAATAATTCCGGCTAGCTAATCTAGCCGAAAAGTCTATTTTTTTTATTTACCATAAATTTGCAAATTTATGGTCTTTAAAAAGTGCTTAAAATGAATCTGTTTTTGTTTTTTTTAATCAAAATTTTCGGCCTACTTTACCAGAAGCGTTCGTTTTTGTAACTTTTCATATATTTAATCTCATTTAATACGATCCACTATATTATTTTCCTAACCAAAACATATGACAAAAACTAACTATTTAAACTAAACTGCTTAAATTTTTTTATTGATCTGATTGTCTGCAGGGGATGCATTTGAAAATATATTAACTAACAGTGTTAGATCATGATTTTTGATATGAAAAAGATTGATCCATGGGGGCTTCCTCCCACATACCCTTGTATGTACTACTTTATTATACTGAGTACTTTATCACATCATTTATTCATTTTATAATAAAAAAGTACATATATTAAATAAAAAATATAGTAAATAACTATTACTACAATTTGAGGCAAGATGGCAAACTATGAAAATAAATTCCATTGTTTAAAGATTAAAAAAAGATGTTTAATTCTAGATATATTTATGAAGTTACAGAATATACCATAAATAAGTGAAAATAATCAAGAAATGCTTTACATTCAATCACACTTTTACAATATAAATTAATAAAAAATTAAATTCCCTACAATCTGAAGTTAAATTTTCTGACAAGCAGGAAAAATGTTAATTATATGCTTAATTTACATTAAAACATAAAACAACACATACTACTAAAGAAACATGTATGCATACCTTGTTCATCCGCCGGTTTATAAAAAGATAACCCTAATGATACGATTGCAGCTATTTGAAGAATTATAAGCGTAACATCTTGAAGAGCTTCCCAAATTAATTGAAGGAAAGTCTTTGGAGGTTTAGGGGGGATAGTGTTTGAGCCGAATGTCTCTCGTCTATGTGCCATGTCGGTTTGAGATCCACTGAGCCCTAAGAAACAAAACAAAAAACAAATATCTATAACATCTCCCTTAACTATGTTAACCTCGATAAGCAAGTATTAAATTAAAACTTTTTCGTTTTTTTAGTTTCATAGTTATTCATAGTTTCATAGAAAGATAGTTACCTTCACTAGGAGATGTATATAATTTTTTACAAATTTCTTGCACACCTCCTAACTCCTGAATTTTCGATACTCCCTCTCGCCCGCGATGCTCCATGAGCTCGCGTAGCTGTTTGAGGGAGATTCCATATTGGGCTGGACGCCCATCTACCGTCGCCATAATGAAGTGCTACCTGCAACATAAAACAACAAATTTGTTACTATCTTTACCACCGATAACTTACTAAACTTGTTATCTGATTCTCAAGTTAGAATGTACTGAACACAAAATAATTGTCTTAAGAAAGACGTGACCTGATCAGTCGAAATCTGATTCAAAGCTAAGAGTTCACATCATAAATAATCATTTTATTACCTTAATACTAATATACAATATAATCTTCTTCTGAGTGCTATTAGGTTTTAAATAAATAACTAAAAAAAGTTTACCTACTATTCGCTACTGCTCAAACTACGTTTTACAGTTTTTATGAAAATTGAAGTCGAAATTTTAATACATCTTATTAAATAGTAGAGTGGACTGTGGTGGCTGAGTGGTTAATGTATCCAACTCGTATTTGCCTAGTGAGAATATTATAAAAAAGTATTGCAAAGTGGGTCTGACCCACACCCAACATCCTTTACTTTTCTACATTTTCCTCTGTACTTCACAAATTGTCTGATTTGTCCAATATGACGATTAAGATAGGAAAAGTGAGATTTCTCCCAGTTGTCTGCAGGGTGATGAACCTAAAACCTGGTGAAATTAATCTTTAAAGATAATTGGGTTGTTTTCGCTATCTCATCTTCAGTGGGTTTTACCTAGGCGTCTGGCAGATGAAACCAGCAAGGATAGGCTGTCCAAAATTATTGGAAACAACCAAACTACATGTCCACCACCCCGCAGATCACACAGAGAAATCTCAGCAACCTTTAAAGTTAATTTAGTTGATAGAAATAATTTTTGGCTTGCCTCTCCTTCCTGTTTTTTTTTTTGGTACCTTAACAACTTCAGTGGATTTTACCTCTGCTCAAGATGGTGGAATGCCAGAATGAGTCAGACCATACAGAGAAATCGCAGCAATCTTTAAAGTTAATTTGGTCGATAGACATCCTTTTTGGTTTCTCTTTCACACTGATTTTTGATTTCTCATCATATTCAGTGGGTTTTATTTCTTCTCAAGATGGATGAAAGCTGGATTTGGTAACAACCAAATTACAGGTCTACCATTCCATAGACCATCTTGTCAGTAGTAAAGTCCAGACACCTCCAATAAGTCCTTGGTTCAATATCCTCCCAGGACAGAGACTTATAAAAAAATTCATTTCAGGCAATCGCAGTAACTAACCTAAGATGTGTTAGACTAGAATAGGACTACCGACTTGATACTACAGACTCCGGAGTCATATAGACTCAGATCAGAAGAGACAAGTCTGTGCAGATATTGCCAGGAAGAAGAAGATACAGCCGAACATGTCTTCTGTTTGTGTGAAGACATAAGATTTCTACTTTTGTGAGAAGAAAAGCAGCAAAACTCATTTATTAACATATTTACATTGTGAAATTGGAATTAAATTATTTCATTGTTTAACCAAGAGATTCGTTCAAATTGGAAGTGCATCTGAGTTCAGTTAAGCAAGTGCTAGTGTTAAAAATGCACTACCCCATATGTACCCAATGTTAAACTGGATTTCTCATTGTGACTATACAATAAAAAAAGTTGGGGCATTGGTGACAGCAACGGTTTAGGCGTTGACACAGCACTCATCACATGCTAGGTAAAGGTCCTGGGTTCGAATCCAGCGGCCCTGCATTTGAAGCCCACATACTTACAAATGGGCTTTTTTCAAAAACACCACCACCTCGGAGGATTCATATAACCTTGCAGTAGAAATACACTAGTTAAAACAAAATCCCTTAAGAAGCATGAGTGTGCAAATGTCTTAAAGGTGCACTCAAGCCAATTTGGCATGTGAGGAACCATTTTTATCCAAGGTATTTGTCATCAGGCAATTATTATTATTATTATTTTTTTTTTAACGAGGGTTTGCAATATCAGAGGTCATATCGACCCGTGTTTTTGAAAAAAAAGCCCATTTGTAAGTAGGTTGGGTTCAAATGCAGAGCCACTGGATTCAAACCTGGGACCTCTTCCTTACAGTGATGAGCACCATGTCAATGCCTAAACCGTTGCAGCCACCGACACTGCCACCACACTAATTATTACTATTATGACGAATGAAGTCAAATGAGCTATTAGAAGAAGTCCTTCAGTCGCAACACACAGTAGTTCAATCTGCTATAGAAATCTAGATGATCATTTTTCAGTTACTGGCATGCAATTGGTTTATGTTTTCAAAGCTGGTGGTGGATTGTTTGAGGGGAAGTTGAGAGAGGCAAGGTCTGGTGAAGGTGGTAGGTAATTTAGTTTTAGCAAATTGCTCAGGGTTATCTATGATCCTAAGTCATACGACTTTAATATAAAGCTGATATTTAAATCAGCTTATATCATTAAATATGATATTATTATAGGGTATCATTAAAGATGATATTTAGAAGTATAAAGCTGATAGTTTTAGATCAGAGGGGTAGAGAAACATGTCCGACAGACCAAACAATGAGGATAGGCTGACAGAAATGATATGGTGGTGGGTTTGTTGTATTTCCTCACTGTGTTTATTAACCTGACCAACTACTGATGCATCTGTCAGACCAAAATGACCTGTAGTGGCTAAACTACCCCCCATGGAAAAATCTCAGAAATGGTTAAAATTAATTTGGACTAGACAGATCAGTTTTGGCCTGTGTATCCCTGCTGGGTTTGTCAGACATTTTTAGGTTACTTAGCAAAATGGTGGAAGAATGAAATGCACCTCACAGACCAAACCATCAAGGATAAGCAGGCCAAAATGACCTGGGCCAACCTGCAGGCCACACAGAGAAATCTCAGTAATATTTTTTTAGCAATCTTACCAAAATGTTGGAAGGAAGATACATACATGCATAGGCTTGTTGTTTTTCCATGCCCTGCTTGTAACTCTGCCGGCCAGGCATTTTAATATGAAGCCTACGTTTTTAAGTCTTAGTTCACAAAGAAGTGGATGATAAGAGGACTATAATTTTCCTCAAATCTTGACTGTTGGACTGCCTATCCTTGTTGTTGTTATGCTTATCTTCGCATCTGAAAGACCAACCATCGGTGATAAGCAGACCAAAACGACCTGTAATGACAACTACAGGCCCACTACCCTGCAGATCACACGGAAAAACCTCATAAATGTTTAAAGTTAATTTGGACTAGACCAGGTCGTTTTTGGTCTGCCTACCCTGGCTGGGTTAGTCTGTCAGACGTTTTTAGCACTCTTACCAAAATGGTGGAAGGCAGAAATGCGCCTGACAGACCAGACCATCGAGAATAAGCCGATCAGTAACGACTAAATTACAAAATTTTTACCAATTAGTTTGTTCGATATGTCAGACACATCATGGCATATCCTGTATCATATAGTGGGTGGGTTTGTTGTCGTTTCTTGTCCTGCCTATAATCCCGACCAACCACCGAAGATGGCAGAATGCATGATCGTAAGTTACACATTTTAATATAAAGCCTATCTTTTTAAGTATTAGTTCAGAAAGTCATGGATGGTAAGAGGACTATAATTTTCATTCATATAATGCATGATCCTAGATTATGATTAATAATATATTAACATTTTAATATAAAGGGTATTTTTTAAGGTTTATTTCAGAGAGCAGTAGATGGTATAAAGGCCTATAATTTTCCTCAAATCTCGCCTGCTGAGAGTTTCTTCGCCTTCCTTTTTTTTGGAGATTTGTAAATTTCTTAGATTTATATCAAGTAAAGACACAAGTCCAACATGTTATTATAAATTTTACTTGTATGTTTCAAAATTAATGATGTGACTGCTTGATTCGATTCGTCCCACTTAACTCGCAGATTGTTTTTGTGATTGGTTTGAGGAGGATTTCGGCAAGTTAGATTCTTTTTAAATAATTTTTTTTTCTAAGGTAAATGTTGAAATGTTTTATGTGCCTTTGTACGACCAAAATTTATGGATTTTCAAACAGGAAAACTCGACATTCCGCATGGGCTGGAGGTAGAAAACAGTGGATGTCCGCGTGTTTTTAAGACGGGAGTCTAGTCGAATGAGAAACGTACCGGCGACGAAGGAGGAGGACAAACCCACTCGGCGTGCCGAGGAGGAAGTGAAATTTCAATTTGGTACTTACATCAAGGCGACATTTCTAATGGAACAGCGGCCCAAAGCAGAGTACAAAAACATCGGAAAACTTGGTAACCTCTCGAAGGCTCCCTTTTCTATTTACCTCCCGTGAAAGAGCCTGACTTTTTTTTTTTTTTTTTTTTTGAGGAGGGGGCGAAAGGTGGGGAGCATTATGCAATCCACAACAAGATAAAACAGTGCACAATTATCCCGGTCGAAAGGTGTTTTTCGACGTTTTCCCATGGTACTCGGTGGAATCGGGATTTAAGCGGTTGGGACGAGACTCGAGAGCACGTGGTCGCCTAATGTCAACCGGCGCACGCCCGTCTCGGGGAAATACCTTCCACGGAGGAAATAGTTGGAACCGGGCTTTTTCACTTTGTCGTCCTGGTGCCTGCGTCGAAGGTATTCCCCTTATTTTATTATATAAAGTATATATATTTTATTACATTGGAGGTCCGACTTCGGTCAAATGTAATGTACTATATGCTGCAAGTGCCTTTAATCAGTTCTTTAGCGATAAATCTGACGATAGTTTGTATAAATCATGTTTTCTTTCATTATTGTTATTCTATTATATTATTCCTTTATTCATTATCAAAATGTCCTTTCGAAGACGTAATCAAAGGCGTTCCCGTAGAATTTTGAAACAGCTGTTAGTGTTACCCTCTCTGCTGTTTGGTTTCTCATCCTCTTCAGTGGGTTTGATACACAACATTCAGAATGAATAAAAGGGTTGTTTTGTGTCCCACCATGTTCAAGATGGTGGAAAGCCGGAACGCGTCCAACTACAGAGCCATCACTCTGCAGACCACACGGATATATTTCGGCAAACATTAAAGGTAATTTAGTTAGAGTCCATTTTTGGTCTGCACATCCTCGCTCAGTTGCCCTGTCAGTCGTATTTACGTTTCTCACCATCTTCAGTGGGTTTTACCTCTGCTCAAGA